CGGTAACAGCCACCCGGTTGAACCTAATCACAAAATTTAAAAATTAACACAGCCCTTAAACTGCCAGCATAATAGAGCTTTCGAAAATCAACGTAACTAGTAATACTGTAGTCGCCGTTGAATCATTAAACCGAGTCCGTAACAAATGGCCGACTTTCTAAAGAATGAATATTTTATGGCCGCTATAACGTCCAATGACCCAGGATAAATTACGCCAATGATAATTTACTTTGCGTCATTGGGCGTTTTAAAACATTTAAATTTTGTGTAATATCATAATATTTATAATCTGTATAATATATTTGATATATTTTACCCATCTATTACACCAATTTATAATTCGGTAACACTGCTGATTAGATGAACAACCGATTCGAACAAGATACATTCATACATCTGACTGCTCATAATATAAAGAACAATCAAAACACATATCACATCGTTACACAACAATCCAGTTGAAAATATCTCCTCATCTATTATTGCTCTTAACTCTTACAAAACAGTATAGTGTAGCACAAAATACATATTTTAGCGCTGAATTCGACCCAATATGAAAGTTAATTTATTATATGTACACAAAAACTCAACACGACCACCTCAATCATAGTTATGTTTTATCCTTTACAAATCTATCACAGCCGGCAAAAACGTTTGCTTCGTGACTAAATATAATCTACTGACTATAAACTATTGGCATTTATCCCGGAACGGATATTTTCAGAAAAAGTTCCTTTTGGAAGTTATTAATTATTAGCTAAGAAGATTGGAAAACTGAAAAATCATACTTTTATTAAAATCTACGATGATTAATAGTATATTTCATGTTGTGACTGTAAATAAATACAAAATTGGTATAGTGGAAAATATTATCGCAATTTCGGACCAGTTACATCACGTTGTGAACAATAATTCAAGTTAGGCTTAGTTTGATCACAAAAAATATTTGTAACTAAATTTACTAGGATAGGATTAATCTTAAATAGGCTAGACAACATAGACCGTATATTAAAGTACCTAAACAAGTATTTTTGATTTTGTTTGAAACGTCTCCTTGCATATGACATAATAAGATCAGAGAATACAAAAATAATCCTCCTAATATATATTTACCGATTTATTCACTTTTCCAGTTTTCCCCTAAAGTTTCTGACTAATTACTAAACTCACGTTTAGTTCTGTTTAACTGTGGACTCGTTGCTGTGTATTTACTATGTACAATAATATTATACGATATCATATTATGCTAACAAAAGATAAAGCAGCAAAACCGTTAATTAACAACCTAACCTATTCAAATAGATAATTGTTAATGATAAAAATTTGAACCGGCACCAAATCAACGGTTTTTTAAAAATTAGACTAGTTTTGGCTGTCAATTAAGATATTTTGGTAGACTACCAAACGATCACCGTAGTAATAAATAATTCAAATTCTAAAACAGACTCTAATTGGTTAAAATATAGTCTATGGCTCTGTCACGGTCATGGCTAACCCATAAATTATTATTGTAGACTATTATATACTTTATTCGCTCGAATTGTATAATTTGTTCAGGTCGAGCACTTTTTCGACTAATGGTAATTGACCACGAAATAAAGTTTTGTACATTTTCTAATTCATATTTATATGACGATGTAAGCAACCAGAACAAGCGTAATGTAATATTACAAATTTGCATTTCATTGCAATAAAACTAATTAAAATTAAATAACAGCTATGAAAAATTCAATTAACTAGTCTAATGAATTATTGTGCTATAAACAAGTAACCGCAATCGTTTCATAGTAAAAAAAAAAATAATAACTAAACATGAAATAAAAAACTCATGACGTGAACTATTAATTGGCAAAGGTAGATTGTTGAACTTAGTATTTCAATTGTGATCCAAATTAAAGTATAGTAAAACATAATACATATACTACAAGAACGCTGTGTTGTGCGAATCGATTGTTTTTATAGTTTTCAACAAACATAGAAACACATTATTATCGTTCTACCATAAAACTTTAAGTACATAATATTTTTTTATGTGATGTTAATAATGTTACACATTATCAAATCGCTTTTTACAGGTAACACACTCGAGTGAGTCACAAGCCAATATTATAATGTTGTTTTTAGCTTTAAACGATAGCAACCCGACCAAGGAGGAAATTTGTTTTGCCTTAATACTAAATGTAATCGAATTAAGCCATATTGATTGCATTCGATGGTTAGCTGTAGACAAAGTGAAATAGACAAAGTTGAAACGTTTACAGTGAACATTTTTTGTTCGATAATGCATTTGTCTGAGCAGTAAGGCTGAGATAGTGTAGCGCGTTAGCACAGTGTTGCGTGCTGATTAATTTATTTACACACTTTGACGTTAAAATTGAACAGGGCCCAATTACAAACCGACAGGAAACGGAAACCGCGCTTAAGCTTACAACAACCGTTCCAAACCCGATTTCGACGAGGGTAAGTCGGGGTTTGTCACGCGCTTTAAATACTTCAGCAGATCAAGACTGGCTACTCGAAAACGCAGCAACGTGAACCGAGTAATTTACGACCGGCGATTTAAATGTACGTACATTGTTTTAAGTGATGATGGCACTCCAACGACAAAGGACACAAAGCACCCATCTAGTGACGTGAATTTTGCAAGGCTCTGACACTTTTGTTAGAGGATTTTTTTTTTATATTTAATTATACATCCGACTGGGAATTTAAGGTCGGGCGTGCATTATTTACTAAGCGCCTGCAAATCTAGAAACACGAAACGACCCCATTGTTTTCCGTCGCTCAAATCTGTTTTAAGGAGATTTCAAGTTTAAAAAATTGTTTCGCCTAACTCGATCAATACCCTCGATCTACCCGGAGTGCCAAAACCGTAATAACGCTTGGGTACGAAAACCGGCTTTTTGTATTTATCTATAAAACGCTGGTCAAGACTACTTGGTTATTCCTGATTTGGATACAATATTTTACATGGTCGATGTTCCTGGAAATTCAATAATTTGTACTGATATGCCAGTCTGTGAGTTTAAGAACGGATAAAAAGTCATGTCCACACAATATGGGTTTAGCGGTAAACAAACTACCACTGCCGGTGCATTTCTAAGTATACATATAAGAACACCGGATTCGGCGTATACTGTTTGTAAACCTATCTGTTATGGTCATTTTGTATAAAAAAAAAAAAAAAAATTCCTGGGAAAAACTATTTTAGGTCGCAACCTACACAGCGTATTATAAAACCCGCAGTCGGGCGAACGCTCTAGTAAAATAATAAAAAAATGCATTTGTTTTATTTTCCACAGTTACATTTTCATTTTGTTCAACATGAATCGTGATCGAAACAAAAAGCTCGGTATTGTGGCGCTTATACAAAAAAAATACATCAGTCACGCGTGCATATGATTTGGAGACTTTTTTTTTCAGAGAGCGCGTGAAACGTAGCATTTAATGCATTTTCGAGAGGGGTCAAGTGGTAATCCTAGCATAATCCTCTACGGTGTACAACTCTGAACATACTTTAATCCAGCAACGATCATAACGATATTATTGAACAAAAGTGGAATTTACAAAATTCTCGTTTTGCAAACATTCTTATTTTACAATTTCCATTTTCCACAAACACATATTTTTATTCGTGCAGTATAATTGATACACTATCCATTGTAATCGGAAACAATATTATGTGTACCTAGTCACGGCTTTCATCGCGTGCAACGAATACCTAACGAGCGTTCACCTGAGTATGAGTAATGTCCAATTGTTTGAGTTTAACTTTTTTTGCGCCTGAGTGTTGTTTCGTTCAAAACTCTTTCACACAACAATTCCGCTATTATTCCAACGTATCCTTTCTGCTGTGTTGTTTTCAGACTTCAGTTGCATACTTCCACTTTTCCCAATATAATCGATATTAGATGCTTAACAAGCACGTGTGTTGTACATACCACGTTTAAAATCGCAGTAGTATAATAATGTAAGCTATATTTTGACTAGTCATAAAAGACTTTAGGGCCTCGTGATTAAGTGCATTTTTTAAGGCGCATTGTATAGGCAATTTTTCATCAAACCTTATCGCATACAGGCTCTATTTTCGTTCAAAAACATATGTTTCTATTCCCAACAATCCCGAGTTCCCATTTGAACTTTTTCAAAGGAAATGACAAGAGTCTATTTAAGCCCAATTTTATCACGGTTGCAAGACCGCTTAAGGTCTAAAGATAATAGTTGTTGGGTATAACGCGATGACGTCAACGTGGTTGGAATTCCAGAGGGTCGATGGACGTTACCAGAATCCGAAGGTGGTGGACACGCCGTATAAGGGATGCGGTCGTATTGTGATTTACACGAAAGCCGTTAAAACAATAAAATATGCTACACGCGCGACCGGGTCGTAAATCAAACTCAGTGTGAAAACTTCTTCGAGTATGTCACTGTGTATACACGTCTATACGCCAGGGAAAATAATATATGATTGTATTTACGTTGGCCTAGCAAGACATTCAAACCAGCCCACGGGTGGTCGTGTGGCGATATTTGTTTTCGGTTATTGTTCGGTACGAGATACCCGCTGATGGTCGGTCGCGATAAGTGTGGTCGGCAGCCGCCAGAACTGTGCGCTTACCGTTTTTGAGTATGAAATACTGTAATGCACATAATAATAATATATACACTCGGCATATACAAAATAGGTATAAGAACGGCCGAGAAAAGGGTATATATAAATGGTAGTCGTGGATACGCCACGGGATCCCATATAAATGCTACACGTTCCGGTCTTAGCAATAACAATGAACGACCACAATACTAAAAGGAATGGGGAAAAAAAGTCGCGATCGTGTTGGATTTGAATAACAAAAACCGTATTGGCACGACAAAGTACCCGCAAGAACGTTTTTTTCCCGTAAAACGACTTGGATGTTTTCAATCAATTTTTCTAAAATATAGCGCCACCATAGGGATGGCATAGTACAGTGTAAAACACCGGTAGCATAATATGAACTTACCACGTGCGCCACTACGGCCAACCGAGTCCAAGTGTTCGCCGCCATGTGTTTTGACAGCCGATGGAAGTTATCCCGTCCGAGATGGGTACACCTTTTGTTTTATTTTCTTTACCGATTTTGAATCAAAAATATTGACAACGATTTCCAGCCGACTTTTTTTTTACCCCGGTTTCTCCGAAGTAATCCTGAAATCAACAAAACAAAAAAGTCTCAATTAGTTTATTACAGCTAGAATAAATAACACAACTAATAAATATCACACCGTGTAAAGAATTTAGTTAAAACATTCTTAAAAATACATTAGGTTTTCTTATAATGCGAATTTAATTGCGAGGAAAAATCGACGCGACCAAAGACGTTTTTCTACTTCCAATCACATCACAAGAAAGTTTACAAACAAATCCAAGCGCACGTGCTCGGTTTCAAAAGTTTCGTTATAACACCGCAAACTTTATTCGACGGTAATGGATTGGGACAAGATTAATGGTCACTTTTTGTTTATTTCTATGTATCAATAACATATATGGCTATAATATTATTTATAGACATTTAAAACAAAAACAAACATTATTTAAATCGCTATAGTTTGTTCGAAAAATTTACTCAAAAAGGCGAACAACTGAGATTATGTAGCTAATAATTGTAGCTAGGTAAAATGAATAAATTCAATTTTGTATAGTTATAAAAAAACAAAATGTGTTATAACATTCATATTTTTCCTCAATTAAAAATGTTTCATAATTATTTAATAAAAATGTGCACTTACACATTTGTCTCATTACCCCACTTGATCAACCAGCATTAACTATAATGTTAATTTAACTGATGGTTTAGATACAGGCAAACTTATAAAACGTTGATGTAACGGCATTTCGTAGTTTGTCAATAAATTATTACCAAGTACAGTTGACAGTTATTAACAATATACAACAGTCCTAAAATCCAAGTAACGAAATTGTGACACACGATTGACGGAGATCAGGAGGGGGCTTGGGATTCTAAGAACCTTAAATCTTAAAATTAGTGTTACATTTATTTTTATTTCAACAAGACTCTCATTAAAACATAAATGTACGTATTATTAATAGTACTAATTTAAAATTTTAAGGTTTTAGTACCCCAAACGCGGATGGTTGAATATATAGTGACCCGGTGTATGTTGGGTTACGTGTTCGTTGCGGTTAAATGTTAGAGTGATGATAAAAGTAAAAAAAAAAAAATACTTGGAAGCTATAAAAGACGCTTTCGGGCAAACAACTCTATTGGTGATTGCGCCTTGCTAGAGTAGTTTGTGTCGAGACTCGAGTGTCCCGCCAATGGGGGGGGGGGGGGTGTAATAGTATAATCTCAGTTCAAACCGAGAAAGAGGATTTTCGTTTTGAAAATCATCGAACGTCCATTGCCTTCATTTGCGGCGCTTTCAAACTTTTGATGGGTAGTTTCCTATAAGTTTATTTCGTTTGGAGAAAATATAACCGTCGACCGCGAGACAGGCGCCACGTTTATCTCCGCTGTAGATGCTTCGTGACGACTGTAAATGGTAGAAATAATATGTAACGTTGTCGGTAAACAGTGTACCGTATAATGGTATAGCAGTAATAGTAGCATCAGTGTATAGTTGTAGTAGTACTTGTAGTAGTTGTTGTTGTTGTGTAGTAAAAACGCAAACGTGTCGTAAAATGTTTCCGGGTCGGTTAGTGTGCCACCCCAGCTGAGGGTTTTGCAAAAACAATAACAAGCTGTTGTCGATTCGGAATACCGAAACTCCCAGCTATGGATATCTTTTTGGATTTCTCACAAAATCAGCCGTCGTGTAACACAAAACACAGTGACCGAGTTTGTGTAGGTCCTGAGATAACGTTGTCTTGTATAACAAAAATCATTATTCAAACTAAAAACCCTACAAAATATGGGAAAAATTCCGAATCTCTTTCTTGTTGGTTTGTAGATATTTTATTTTTTACGAATAGGCCGTTGTTTTTTTTTTTTTGCTACACAAGCGTTGAAGGTTTTACGTGCCGGGCAGGCGATGAAAAAGCCGGAGAAAAGGAAGCTAATAATAATTCTGTCCGGCCAAAGTCGTACGGTTCATTCCGGTCACGTCCACTTGTTTGCGTATTGAGCTGTGACTTAAGTGTGCGTGTACGGCCGGCGGAGGGGAAAAAACCGGTCGAGGGGATGCAAATTTATTTAAATTGAACGGCAAAACCGAACGGGTCAGGGATTATGCGGTTTCAGACTAGACGAACGAGGGCCTGAAAATTGGCAAAGCAAATAACTTCCGCAGTGTGTTGTCGTTGGAGAGTTTTATTGTAGAGCCCAAGGTGCGTCGGCCGGGATTAGGAAATCGGCCAAGAGAGAATAATACATAACGCACAGTTGACGTTTATTTCCTCCGAGAATGGTCTGAGAAATAGCTGAGTGTATACTCTATATACCATGCATATTATATTATTATTATTATTATTATATACCAAACGATAATAATAATTGCAATCAATCATAGCATATGACTTGACTACGCCTTGGGTCGTATACAAAACAGTCGAGCCGGCGTTAAGTTGCAAAACAAGTGTATAATATTCATTTCAACTGTATAGAGTTGTACCAAAGGAATATAGAATGCACCGAGGACAATATTCCACGCTCCGGTGACTCGTTTTTTTTCGGTTTTTTCATGACCTCGGACGTTGCAATGTTGACAGTGGAAAGCCAGCGAGCGAAATGAGTTCATAATAATTAATCAGTTCGTTTGGGAGATGATATTTCAGTCGGCTGGCGTTTAAATAATTCATTAATCGGAAAAGACCATTTGTATACATTACAGGTAATACAGTCCGCCGTCGCTGTTGCCATTGTGAGTTCTGGGGAAAGCTTTCAAATTGATTAGAAATCATCACCGTGTAAAATATACACACACACCGAATATTACCCAGAGTAGCTATCTTAACAAACCTGCGCCGGATCTCCCGCTGTGAACCCTACCGGTGTGGTACACTAATCATTTAAGCGCTTCGCTATGTTTTTTTTCTCGTTTAAATCGTTATTGTTAAACATACATCACGTTCGGTCGTAATGTGACTCATGTTTATGGTACGGCCGTGACTGTAACCTCTTCAGATTACATGTCATAAACAAATTTAAAACATAACTTAACTCCTTTTTTTCAATTACACGAATAAATCAAATCGACCGAAAGTATACGGTTAATGGCATTTTAATAATCAAAAACAGTTCAACGAAATGAAAGAAAACAATAGCCTAAAAAAAAGTGAATTGCTACAGACAACAGTATAGTAATGTGTAATTTAAATTTTAATGAATCCAAATCAGATGCCGGAATAACAATTACGCGATCAAATCAAAGGACCGTAAACCGATGTAATTATGATAATGTTACGAGTTAAAATATTATATTCATGGATTCAAATTTATTAGCTATAAAGTTTTTCAAATAGATAACGCTAAGGCAGTAAATTATAAATTATACAGGGGAAAAACAAGTCTGTTTTACCATCACTATAATATGTAAATATATTATTATATAATGCGCAAACTTTTTCAACCAAAATACAGTAATACATACTAATATAGTACTACAACCACTAGCCATTATAAAGTATAAAGTATTTTTTGTATGGGTGACCAAACGTTGTAAAAAGTAAAATAGATTTAAGGTCAGAACTCGAAAAGTTAACAAAAAGGAAAATATTTAAAAGTGGTGTAGTATTATTCAAAATATTAATAGTGGACAATTTTAATTGAATTCAATCGTATGTTTTACGAAGATGATAGCGCAAAAAAAAATATTTATAAATAATAGAAAACTTGCAACATTGTACATAAATTAAGTTACAATTTAAAATTTGTCCGTATTCAATTACTTTAAGTGTATGTATATTATGCATAGATATTATAACACAGTCATAGAACACTAAATATGTGTGACAATTTGGAAACCTAAGCTACTTTGAAAGAGTGCCTGTAAATCGAAATTTAATATTATTTTTATTATTATTATTATTTTAGTCGTACCTACGCTTCGAGTAACTGTTTGCCGGTGTACGTTTAAAACTCTAGTGCTGGACCGAATACATTTTCATTGAAAATAGTTTAGCGGACTTGAGAAAAGACTGAGAGATAGGTTAAAAGGACCGACCATGAACATGATTGACCTCATCTACCCTGGTCGACCGGTAAATGTCGATTAGTTATTGTAACCGAAATGGACCCGCTATGACATTCGTCTTCGAGTTTCGCCAAAATCTGTTAATTATTTATATCAGCCACGTACTATTTAAAGCTATCGACCGAACCCGACCCTGCCTCCTCTACCCGAACTTAACCAACAGACTTCCGACAACAATCATCGTCAATTGACTCGGCCACAATTGAATCAGTCATTTAAAAATCGACATAGGCCATGTTTTTGAAAAACAGATAAAAACTTCAAGGGTCACCTAAAGTGGTGCACAGCTATGGAAAACGACTTGTTTCTTTTACACTACCCTAAACCAGTAAATAATTGTATGTAAAAATAATAACTCCATTGTGGTGTTCAAATTTTTTATTTGCTTGACTCATGTAATTTTTCAAATGACTGATTCAATTATGATATTGCACAAGTTTAATGTGAAGTTATTGTAAAATATTTTTCGATAGTATAATTGCTATAGTGAATTCAGCCAATTCGGTAAAACTCAAAACTAGGAAGGTATACAATACACACCGTAGTTAATAACGGGTCATTACATTGGCATCGAGTGGCTATGTGTTATACCCATCGATTCAGGGCAGCCATATACTGAAAACAGGGAAAAGATTAGGAGTAAGAGGGCGGAATTGGATCCAACCTCACACATTATAACTGCACGAGTAAACCTTATCGAACCGTTTATATTTGATTGTATTATTAAAGTGATTTTCAATTTGCAAGCAAAATCCTGTAGATATGCTTGTCTTTTTCTTGAAAGCTAATGTGATTACTTTATGATTGTATGTTTTTCTGAAGGATATTTAAGCAAGTAAATAAGTTTATGAAATTGGCAGCAAATGTTCTTCGCATAATGTTATGCAGTGTGTACGTACCATGTCAAAAATACTTTAGTATAATATTGTAGCTTAGCTTGAGTTGCTAAACTCGACGTTTACAATGTCGTTGTAAAAATGAGGTGCCAGTTTGGTA